CCCCCCCCCCCATTAAGAAATGCCATGTACATCTGCAGGCTACAGTAATTCTGCTTATTTACTGTATGGGTCAAATTAAACATCAAGACACTCACTTTTGTGCTTAGAAATGCTTTGCACAGCAACTGAATCAGCTTCCCTTTTCATTCTTTCACCTGTAGGAGAACTCAAGTGTCCTAAAGGAGTTAATAGAACTTCGAGCCAAGAAGAGTGCTCTGCTTGGCTTTAACACCCACGGTGACTTTGTGCTGGAGATGAACATGGCGAAGTCCAGCAAGAAGGTGTCTGCCTTTCTCGGTATGTTAGTCTTCATATGCAGCTTGAACACTTAGAACTATAGCTTTAAATATTAACTTCTTTCCTTATAGCACTGGGCCTCTAGTCTGTTCTTTCTTCCTCCAAATCAGAGGAACTGGCACGCAGACTGAAGACACTGGGTGAAGAGGAGCGTTCTGTGATTCTCAAGTTAAAAGACAAGGAATGTCAGAAGAGGGGTTTCCCCTTTGGCGGGCAGATTCATGCTTGGGATACTAGGTATTTTATGACACAGGTGGAGGAAACGCAATATGCTGTGGATCAAAATCAACTGAAGGAGTACTTCCCAATGGATGTGGTAACACATGGGCTCCTAGATATCTACCAGGAGCTACTAGGCCTTTCGTTTGAGTTGGTGGAGGATGCCCCAGTCTGGCATGAGGATGTTGTGCTGTACAGCGTCAAAGATCGCTCAACAACTCATGAAATTGGGCAGTTTTACCTCGACCTCTTTCCAAGGTAAGCTGTATAAAATGGTTTTATATATATGTGCTTTTCTTAGTTAATTGTGATATTTATATGTATTCAGAAACTATACATACCTCTTTTATTGTTTGATGTTTTATGATGTTGCCTTATGCTAAAATCGCAAAAAAAAAGTCTACACTCAAAACTTCATATTGACCAAGCGAAAACGGGATTTTAAACATTTTTGCAAATTTATTAAAAATAAAAAGCAACTGAATATTTACAAGGTTCTGAGTACTTTCTAAAAGCACTGCAGTAAGTTCTACACCAACAAGAAATAGCTCACACACGATTTAGTGATATCAGCAATATTTTTTCATTACTGCTGTGAAGTATCAGCATTGAACGCCGTGTTTCTGCAGAGAGGGAAAGTACGGCCACGCTGCATGCTTCGGTCTGCAGCCTGGATGCTTGCTGCCTGATGGAATGCGACAGATCGCCGTGGCCGCCATGGTTGCCAACTTCAGCAAACCTACAGCGGACGCACCCTCGCTGCTGCAGCACGACGAGGTGGAAACATACTTCCACGAGTTTGGCCACGTCATGCACCAGCTGTGTGCTCAGGTGAGAGCACATGCATTTCATGATGGTGTGAATGCTTTCCTTCATTTCTTTCTGATCATTTTCTCCTGAGTGTATTAAAGGCTGATATGAACTTTTTTTGATACAGATGTTTTCTTGCAAATTGCTTGTCTACAAGACAACTATAATTGTATTCCCCAGACTTTGGGCAATACATATGGTTTAGCACTGGTCCACAGTCTACGGTACTGCTTTGGTATGCAAGCCAATAGCTGAAACGTTTGACATTCAAAATTTGCACCAGCATTGTATGGGTGAGGAACTAGAACTGATTCAATTTTTAATTTTGAGACTGATCGTCCCAAAACTGAAGCAGTGCTACATGGTGATATCTAAGAAAGTAGTTTCAGACATTTGATCCTCTTAGCACAATAACTCAAATATTTAACAGATCTTTTTAACCTTTTCAGACTTGTAATTTTGAGGATCTGGTCATTTTAACATCCCTGCTTATAATACCCTCGTTTTTCTTATTGCTATCTGTTTGAGCCTTTTGAAAGCATTGATATTTAGCTTGTAATTGTTTGAAAGTTGTGTTTTTGTTGGAAATTAAGAGTCTGTGTATCACAGGTTTAAGTTAAACTGTCAAACAAATATTAAGACATGGGTCATTCTCATGAATTTGAGAATAAAAAAAAAAATAGCAAATTTAATGTTTTGTTAAGTTCATAACAATGAGCCATATATTCTCATTTTTGTTTTAGATTCATTTGGAAATTCAGTGTACAGTGGTACCTCAGTACTCAAACTCATTAGAACTCGAATTTCTTAAAAGTCGAACCAACCAGTTTGGAAACAAAAATGACCTTGAACTCGATCTGAATATCATAAGTCGAACCGTGAACAACGACCCAAGAGAACTTGTATGCACGGGGGAAATGAGTCACGCGGCATTTCTCTCTGCGGAAACAAAGGGAAACGCTTCAGTCTCAGCCTCGCATTCGCTTTGATAGCATCGTACATGTTTACATTAGCTGAATACATATATTTAGACAGTAAAAATACATTTAGACAATGATAGACAGTAACAGTAACTATTATATAATATACATTTAAAAATAAAGATTTCTTATAAATTATTTTAATATCATTAATAATAAACCATTAATAGATTTAATTAAGGACAGAATGGAGAGAAAGGCGCAGACGTCAGGGTATCGGGGAATACGGGGTTTAAATACAGGTAAGGCAGGCAAAATGCAGAAGGACAATACAATGACCAGACTGGGGAAACAAACTGAAACGCAGAGTAAATACAGAGGGGCTAATGACAACAACCAGAAACAGCTGATCACATGGGGATTCCACACGAGGTTAATGAGGGGGCGTGACACACGGAAGGAACGGATGATCGGGGCAGGACACATTGTGGTTTTTTTTTAACTTTGGATACATTTATTTTCTTACTTTACAAATTACTGTTTTGATAAATGTGCTTAGATGTGTTTAGTATAGTATGTGCTCTTGTTTTATCCTGTTCATTTTGTGTTTAAATGCAAAAAAAAAAAAACACATTTAGGTGTCATTTTTTGAGGCCGAGAACCAATTCATTGGTTTTCCATTATTTCTTATGGGGAAAAATTCGATCAGAACTTGAACTTTTTAGGATTCGAACCAAGTTCTGAACGAATTAAGTTCGAAGTCCGAGGTACCTCTGTATAAGTATTCGTTTTAATATGATTAATCACAGAAAACTGCAATTTAATTTTCGTAGTCAATTCATAGCCTATTTATTTATTTAATCTTAAGTGTTGTGTTTCCCTCATTTCATTATGTTCTGAGCCATGGTTCTTCTGAGCACTGGGACTACGTTTGATCAAAAAAAGCTCTCTACTCATTTTGTTACACATTTAATACTTCCTGGGTTCCTATGCCTTATGGAAGAGTATGGAATTTGATTATGGTGTTTTCCAAATCAGGATAAGTATGGAATAAAGAATCAAAAGGATTGGAATATTTCAGTGTTTCTGGACTATGGTGTCAAATTGCCCCACTGTGTATTCTAAAATACATATTTCAGTTTACTTATTAAAGTTTTTCTTGAAATCACCATTGTGAACATGCCTATAACATGAAAAAATTTAAAAATTGTTAAATGTCAAATATTGTCCTTATTTTATTTGTAGAGAAATCTGCACATTTGTCTTGAAAAGTATAGGATTTGTGTACTCCAGCTCATTTTTCATGATATTATAGAACTTCTGTGTGAGAATAAAAACTTAAAAGGTTTGCAATTAATTCCATTATGTGTTTCATTTTGTTAGGCAAATTTTGCTATGTTTAGCGGGACCCATGTTGAAAGAGACTTTGTTGAGGCTCCCTCCCAAATGCTTGAGAATTGGGTATGGGAGAAAGAGCCACTGCTCCGCATGTCCAAGCACTACAAGACTGGTAATCCCATTCCAGAGGAACTTCTGGACAAGCTCATTAAGTCTCGTCTGGCTAATACAGGTATCCTTCTTCAATTATTGGTTATTGTGAAACCTTTGCTCATTATAAGCAGAGTGCCAATCCTGCTTTTCTTTCATTCATTCATTCATTCATTCATTCATTCATTCATTCATTGTATACAGGTTGACTGTCTTTCCTTTCTCTTTCTTCCCAGGCCTCTTCAACCTAAGGCAGATTGTGTTGGCTAGGGTAGATCAGGTGTTGCATACCAGAATTGGTGTAGACCCAGCAGAAGAGTATGCCAGACTTTGCCTGGAGATCCTGGGAGTTCCTGCATCTGAAGGTTGTAGTTGTGATTCTTTGCCTATCTTGTTGTGGTGTACAAATCTTGCATGAAATGTGTCAGATAACCAGAATTTTATTTATTTATTTGGGTTTTCCCTATAGGCACCAATATGCCGGCAACATTCGGACACCTTGCGGGCGGTTATGATGCGCAATATTATGGTTACTTGTGGAGTGAAGTCTTCTCTATGGACATGTTCTATGGCCGTTTCAAGAAAGAAGGAATCATGGACTCAAAGGTTTTTTTTTTTTTTTTTTCTTGTTTGCTATTTTTAATTTATTGAACTAACATTTCTTTCATCTTATACTTTTATTAAAAGTGACTTACAACAGAGGGAGCGGCATACAATTTATGGGATTGGGATTTGAGCCCATGACCTTGTTACCACAATGTTGTAGTTGTTGAGCTACAGGAGCAGTTAAATGATACATGCTTTATTTGCCGTTTGCTCTCCTTTTGAGGGAGAGTGAGAGAGAGGGATGGACAGAAGGACAGCATGTTCAGTGCAGAAGAAATATCCAGAGATATAGATCTGAGTAATGGTGGGCAAAATGGTGATATTTTATCGTAACTGGTTACTGTTGTATTCATGATAGAACTAGCAGATGGTTTTGTTCAAAGCAACATCCAAGTAAGGCAAATAGCATTTTACATTACAAAGACATGTGCAACAAAACAGTTTCAGCCTGTGTAACATGATAGCACTGTCTGTATATCTAATTTCTTTGTAAATTACATATCTCAGTGAATCCCAACTTTGTGACTAGATTTTGAACTAATAATGATATATATATCAATATATAATATACGCACAATATAATGTACACTGCTCAAAAAAAATAAAGGAACACTTATTAATCAGAGTATAGCATCAAGTAAACTAAACTTCTTGGATATTCATCTGGTCAGTTAAGTAGCAGAGGGGGTTGTTAATCAGTTTCAGCTGCTTTGGTGTTAATGAAATTAACAACAGGTGTACTAGAGGGGCAACAATGAGACGACCCCCAAACCAGGAATGGTTTAACAGGTGGGGGCCACTGACATTTTTCTGTCCTAATCTCTTCTGACTGTTTTTTCACTAGTATTGCATTTGGCTACGGTCAGTGTCACTACTGGTAGCATCAGCCGATACCTGGACCCTACAGAGGTTGCACAGGTAGTCCGACTCCTCCAGGATGGCGCATATTGACGTGTCATTGCCAAAAGTTTTGCTGTGTCTCCCAGCACAGTCTCAAGGGCATGGAGGAGATTCCATGAGACAGGCAGTTACTCTAGGAGAGATGGACAGGGCCATAGAAGGTCCTTAACCCATCTGCAGGATTGGTATCTGCTCCTTTGTGCAAGGAGGAACAGGATGAACATTGCCAGAGCCCTACAAAATGACCTCCAGCAGGCCACTGGTGTGCATGTCTCTGACCAAACAATCAGAAACAGACTTCATGAGGGTGGCCTGAGGGCCCGACATCCTCTAGTGGGCCCTGTGCTCACTGCCTGGCACCGTGGAGCTCGACTGGCATTTGCCATAGAATACCAGAATTGGCAGGTCCGTCACTGGCACCCTGTGCCTTTCACAGATGACAGCAGGTTCACCCTGAGCACATGTGACAGAAGTGAAAAGGTCTGGAGAAGCTGCGGAGAACATTATGCTGCCTGTAACATTGTTCAGCATGACAGGTCTGGTGGGGGGTCAATGATGGTCTTGGGAGGCATATCCATGGAGGGAAACACAGACGCCTACTGGCTAGACAACAGCACCTTGACTGCCATTAGGTATCAGGATGAAATCATTGGACCCATTGTCAGACCATATGCTGGTGCAGTGGGTCCTGGGTTCCTCCTGGTGCACGACAATGCCCAGGCTCATGTGGCAAGAGTATGCAGGCATTTCCTGGAACATGAAGGAATTGATACCATTGACAGGCCCACACGTTTGCATGACCGAAATCCAATAGAACACCTCTGGGACATTATGTTTCGGTCCATCCGACGCCACCAGGTTGCACCTCAGACTGTCCAGGAGCTCAGTGATGCCCTGGTCCAGATCTGGGAGGAGATCCCCCAGGACACCATCCATCATCTCATTAGGAGGATGCCCTGACATTGTTAGGCATGCATACAAGCATGTGAGGGCCATACAAACTACTGAGTACAATTTTGAGTTGCTGTAATGAATTTTCAGCAAAAAGGACTAGCCTGCTGCATCATTTTTTTCACTTAGATTTTCGGGGTGTCTTTGAATTCAGCCCTCTGTAGGTTGATCATTTTCATTTCCATCAAACGATGTGGCATCTTTTTGTTCCTAACGCATTACTCAGTCCATATCAGTATAGGTATCTAACATGACTTTTTTTCCCATTGAGACCTGATGTGTTCCTTTAATTTTTTTGAGCAGTGTATATATGTGTGTATGTATATGTATGCATGTATGTATGTATGTATGTATGTACATGTGTGTGTGTATATGTATATATGTGTATATTTTAGGGCTGTCAAAATTAAGGGGTTAACGCGGATTAATCCATCATCATGATTAATCTGATTAAAATTTTTAACGCAATTAACTCATCTGCAGCGCAGAATGACTCAAAATCCATGAAATGTCTGTCAACCCATTTCGGGCAGTTTTGGTGCGTTCCATTTGCCCTGGGAACTCGTATTCCGAGTTTTGAAGCTGGAAGTGACGGCATGCACGGTCCCGTTTCTCGGAGATCCGAGAAATATCTCGGAGCAGCACAGAGGATCCTGAGTTCAGAATCCAAGATGGCTGCGCCATTTATCAACAGAAGGGAAAGTTGTAGTTTTATACTGCTTAAGTACTACTTCTCATTTGTGGCTCATTAAATCAGTCGCACACACTATACCGTCCAACTTATCTGTGGACGTGTTGCTACGGAGTTCTATACGTAAAGCACCGCGTGTAATGTGTTTCAATTACTAACAATGGCAATTATCCGGGCTAGAATTGGATTTCATGATTAGTTGGATTATTTGTCGGATTTATGGTAGTTCGGGCTAATTGTAAGTGAACGAAGATAAAGACCATTTAAACTGAGGTATCTTAAATCCGACAGTCTTCTATTTTGTGTTAAATCTGTACAATTAGTTGAAGCACAGGTCTTTCCCATTTTAGATGTTGTTTTCAAGCTGAATGCGAACGCTGCCACTCAGTTTTTTGCTACTCAGTGGATGTGAGCACAGTGACTGCCTGCTGTACGTCATATGCATACTCTTTGATGTTCTTAGGCTCCTCATACTGCAGATAACAGTCTGGAAGTATTTTACGCTTTTAACAACTAGTAGCACAGCGATTTGCAAGCTTCGTGAAAAAGTTTTGAGAGGTGGGAGTAGCATTTAGTGGAAATCCCACTAAACAAAGCGCATGCAATTGTGTAAGACAACGCGAGTAATATGAAAAAAGCAATGTATGATTTGGGAGTCACTAACATGGGCAGCTTTGCACACAATCTACAGTTTGTGATATATGAGGGGCTGCTGTCAATTAACATTGAAATATTAATTAGAATTTGCCCATAAAGAAATCTGGAAACCCATTGGTGGGGTATTTTAAACATTCACCACTTGCGTATTCTAGCTTGGAATATATTCAGGTTGAACTGTAAAATGGCTCAAAAATGCTTATGTGCAAACGAGGTGGAACACTACATTATGTATGTTTCTAGTAGCCTAATTAAGGATTTTTTTGGCTTACATTTTTCCATCTGTATTTACTAGTTTATTTATATATGAAGTATAAATATATAGACGCTCCTCTACTTATGATCTTTCAGACATACGAATGAAGAGGACTGTAAGTCCAATTTGTGTTCGTTGGGCTCCGGTTTCCTGTCTGCAAAAGCAAATTTTTTCTCTGCGCACCAATTCCGCCTAGTATGACTTCTGGCTACTATGTAACTACCATTAGGGTCAGTTATGCTGTTTTAAGTTGAATTAATTAATTAATTTTCATGTAAGAATTAACATGACTCAAATCCCAGCATTATTTGATTTAAATGAAGAATTTATTCATTTACATAATTATAATTAAAGGCATATGTTTGTAAGGACCTTTGTAGTATTCCTATAGCAGAACTAATCTTGGGTTTGGGTTGGGGTCTGGTCAGTTTTGTAACATTTTCGTTTTGCTTAGTTAAGCACAGCACTTGTTATGCGGCTGAGAAAGTGTTTTAAGTTATACTGTCAATATTCAGTTTATGATTTATGTGCTTTATTTTATCTAGTTGTCATGGCATGCTCGATCGGATGGATATGTGAATAAATGCCCGTGAACAGATATCAGCTTGTGTTCATAATTGAGGGGAGTTACACACTACTCCCGCCGCTCAGCAGCGTAGCGTGTGTAATCCTAGTTATTTTACGTATACGCTTAAAATGATGTTGAATAACGGCGTATGAACATTTCAAGTTATGAACGGCTGTTCGGAACATAACTCGTTCGTAAGTAGAGGAGCGTCTGTATTATATATTAACATATTGAAGTAAAAAGAGCTCGTATAGGTATTTGTTTCGGTATCGGCAGTTGTGTATTGGAATCTGATAGGAGCTGATAAAATAACTTTACTGTGTCCGTTTCAAGTACAAAAGAGAGAATTAATGGACTAAGTATAAACCTAAACGATACAGATTTACAGTACAACCTCGGAATGTGAGCATAATTCCTTCCAGAAACGTGCTCATAATCCAAAGCATTCACATATCAAAGCAAATTTTCCCATTAGAGATAATGGAAACTCAGATGATTCGTTCCATAACCCAAAAATATTCATATAAAAATGATTAATACAAAATATAAAGTAAAAATACATAAAACAAATTAATTTGCACTTTACCAAAGAATCGTGGATGGTGTGAGGGAGACGAGAGAGACGAGAAGAGGAGGGTTATTTTGTAGGATGACTATCACTGCTATCTGTTGGCTCACTGGAATCTTTTTCTTTTTGTGCGACTTTAACAAGGAACCTATCCAATGATAGCCGCTTATACCTCCTTTTCGATTTCGCGGAAATGTGCACATTGCTTTGTCATTAAACAGACTCGTCGCTTGCACTGCTACGCCCTTATTCGGGTGGTGCTTTTCTACTAAATTTTGACTATATGAATGAGACACGCCAACGGAGACCAAGCATGGAAAACGATTACCCACAATCCCGCAGCGAGAGAGAAGAACCATCGGCTCAGTTGTGATTACGTGACGCTAGGCAGACAGAGTATATATAATTCTCGTATTGCAAGACCTCACTCGTTTTCAAGTTAAAATTTATTTAAAATTTTTGCTAGTCTTGCAAAACACTCGCAAACCAAGTTACTCGCAATCCGAGGTTTGACTATCTGTGTGAGCTTTAAGCATTAAACTATATGAGACAATGCACACTATGTAGTTTTAAAGTGTTTTTAAACATATTAATAAATTGCACTGTCCTTTCATAAGAACATAAGAACTATACAAACGAGAGGAAGCCATTCGGCCCATTGAGCTCGCTTGGGGAGAACTTAACTAATAGCTCAGAGTTGTTAAAATCTTATCTAGCTCTGATTTAAAGGAACCCAAGGATTCAGCTTGCACTACATTATCAGGAAGACTATTCCATACTCTGACTACACGCTGTGTAAAGAAGTGCTTCCTTAAATCCAGTTTGAAATGTTCTCCCGCTAATTTCCACCTATGGCCACGAGTTCTTGTATTTGAACTAATGCTGAAGTAACTATTCGGTTGAACAGCATCCAAACCTGTTAGAATCTTATAGACCTGGATCATGTCCCCCATCAGTCTCCTTTGCTTGAGGCTGAACAGATTTAGCTCAACTAACCTTTCCTCGTATGACATTCCTCTAAGACCAGGAATCATTCTTGTGGCCCTACGCTGCACCTTTTCTAAGGCCGCAATGTCATTCACTATCAGTGATTGTAAAAAAGGCAACTCGGCTATTGAAGGGCACATACAAACATTGAAATATTAATAAAAATTTGCCCATAAAGAAATCTGGAAAACCAAGGGGTGTTGCTTGCATTTTGAGTAATGGTGGGCAATATGGTGATATTTTACAGTAACTGGTTACTGTTTTATTCATGAAAACTTTACTTCAGTGTCCAGGAAGTGGATTCAAGTTTAAACCTTAATTTCAGTTAGCTTCATATGCAGTTTTACTGCTGTAATATCTTTCAATGTTTGGTATATTTATGTTTGTATGTATGCACTTCATATTCAATAGTTTAACACTTTACAGGACGTAATCTGTATTATTTAGGCTTGCTTATGCCTTCACATTGCAGCAAATCACAAGTGGGCAAGTGTAGTGGGATCGCAAAACTATTACAAAAGCTATTTCAAAAAATATCTTCCCACCCAGACTTCTTAGGAGTTCGAACTGGACAATCCACAAATCAATAGGAGGGAAGTAATATAACAAATATAACGATCAAAAAAACTGGACGTAATCCACTAATATGCAAAACACACTCGCTTTCTCTTTTTATGGATGTGATGTTACACAACACAAATTTAAAAAAAAAATTGCATATTTGTGGATAATTAAATTTGTGGATCATGGCACATATTTGTGGATTGTCTGCTTTGGGTTACAAATAACGTCCAATAAAAACTTCCATACAAGTGCCACATCTCATGTGGTTGCAGTAACCTTGCTGAATTGTCATCCAAATCTTGCCTTATACAGTGTATATTATATGAAACGATAGACGTTTTTATTTCATCATCTGATATATATTGTCATATCACACAGCCCTAGTCAACATTATTTGCTTCACATGGGGGTGGTCATAATGCTTTGCCTCAGTGGTGTGTGTATATACAGTCAAGAGCAAAGTTTGGGTGTCCAAGCATGGGTCAGGTCATTTGTCCAGACCGCCTTGAGCTTTTCGGAGGTTAATGGTCTTGCTCAAGGGCTCAACAGAGATGTGATTATTCTACTAATGTCAGGGCTTGAAAAAGCAGATTTGCGATGATGGACACAGAGGTCTAACCTGCTGAGCCACATACTGCCTCCCTCCTTTAACATCCCTGAACAAATATCTTGCAGACTAACACAAAAATCTTGCCTTGACCTTATTGTTTGAAGTGTGCTGCACGTCCTTGTACAAACCAAGCACATTCGTTCTCTTGTAACATGTTTCTCTCTCTCTTCAGGTGGGCTTAGATTACAGAAACTGCATCCTGAAGCCCGGTGGTTCACTGGATGCCGAGGAGATGTTGAAGAACTTTCTAGGCCGTGAGCCAAAGCAAGAAGCCTTCCTGTTAAGCAAAGGGCTAACTGTTGAACTGGAAGGTGGTACCCCTTGTGCGTGTTGAACCTCATCCCCACTTATGTCCTCAGAGCTCGTTCTGGAAAGTTAGTAGATATTCTCCAGGTTTACTCTCTCCAGGTAATGCAGTGGTTGGTTTTTAATTGAAGATTTTTAAATGATCAGTTGTATTGATACAGAGTTCTGTTGACATCAATAAAAACTTGTACCTGATTTTTTTTTTAATGATTTTTTTTTTGTGTGTTTTTTGCAAGTACATTTTCCTGGATAACTAATGAATTTTCTACTTTTCATGCAGAAAGTAGTCAATTAGCAAAATTTTACATTACTTGCATTCCATAATAATGAATGGTAATTTTGCCTGGATGTTAGCAAATCAGACAGGATGCAATCAAGGGCAGGTTTCTTGTTTCTGGGGTCCCACTCGGAAAGTTTGGGGCTCTCATACCTCCAGGGCCCCACGCAGGAGTGATGTTTGGGTGGTGTGAACACTGCCACTGGATACAGGTACCGAGGGTTTATGTCTGTTTGCTGTCTGCAGAGGCACATAAACGGCTAGTAAAATTATGGGTATGGGCCTGAAATGGGGGAAAAAAGGCATTCACAATGTTAGAATTTGATGAGAGCAGGAAACTATGGGTCAGAAAACTACAGAATCCCTGAAGTGCAAAGCAAATAAAAGGTAGGTACTTCCAGAAAATCATGGCTTTGCCACTGATTTGACACACAACATATCTATCCTAAAGAGGACTCAGAAATTGTAACCTAACAGAAGTTAGCAAAGGTATTTTTTGTAGATTTGTATAGTTATCCATATACATATCTGATATTGCCATGTTTTATCCTTATTTTGGTAAAGGTTTTGAAGCTATCCGTATGAAATGCTGATGGTGCTGGTGGCAAGGTACTAGATCAGTGGTCTCTCAAACTCAAATTAGCTGGGGCCACTGGCTATGTGGTGTTCCCCAAAGGGGGCTGTGTGAGAAATCACACAACAAAAAAAATGTCCCATCTTTTTCAACCTGAAATTTTAAATTAAATATTCAGGACATTCTGGTGACCTGGGTACTCATGTATAATGACGTGCGTGGAATTCACACTAAAACGGACAAAACTAGGAATGTGCGTAAGCAAGAAAAAATCCAGATGCATAAAACTGTAAGCACAGATCTATGCACATTCCCTTGATAAATCCCAATGAGCGTGAAATTTTACTTATGTGAACGAGCCCACAGCCGCCCCCCGACCCGCCCATAATTATGTATATTTGCATCTGTAAATCTGTATAAATACCAGCTTTGTTCTTAGTTTTTCTTACACAACAATGGATAAACCACGTGGGAAAAAAGTATTTCAGCAAGTGCGAAACACACTGTGGCCGAAATTAAAAAGAAGTGGTCGGACATTAAAATCGACGTGAAAAAACGAGCCGCTCACCGTACAGTGATAATTTCGTTGACGAAATATTTTCGTTATAATTTTCGTCAACGACAAATTTTCACTGACGAAAACAAGACGATAACTAAATAAAAATTAAGTGATGATGACGAAAACTATAATAAAAATATATTGACATTTTCGTTAACTAATAAAAACGAGACGAAAATGTGAGTGAGGGACGTTTTTGGAAATGATC